AAGGACATTACTAATTCTTAGCGAGTCTCAGCTTGTCCATGGGATGACATGAATAACACCATATCACCTCACGTGGTGATTGTAAGGATTCAGTGAGATTATTCCGTAAACTATAAATCCTCTGTAAATATCAAGCAAGATTATTATTATTGCCATTGTTATTAGTCCGCAGGGTTTTTTTGTTTTTGTTTTTGTTTTGTCTTACTCTCACTGCAACCTCCACCTCTTGGGTTCAAGCAATTCTCCTGCCTTGGCCCCCTAAGTAGCTGAGACTACAGGCACATGCTACCACATCCAGCTAATTTTTTGTATTTTTAGTAGAGATGGGGTTTCACCAAGTTGTGCAGGCTGATCTCAAGTGATCTGCCCACCTCGGCCTCCCAAAGTGCTGGGTTACAGGTGTGAGCCACCACACCTGGCACAGCGATCTTAATTGAAAAGTCTGTGGATAGCTTTCCAAAGGAAAGCTCGGATCTAGGATAAGAATCGAGAGAGAATGGGAGAAGGTGAATAGCCTCTTCAGGGCCTTTCTAGCATCCTAAATATGTGTGTCTGTACATAAGGGGTGATCACATATATCACAAATTAAACCCTCTGCAAACTTATTTCCTAATCAGTTGGTTAACCTTTCCTTCTGAAGGGTAAACCTTTTTTTTTCAAGAAACAAAACAATATTTTTATTTTCCACTTTGTTATTTTGGTAAAAAATATAAAATTTGCCATCTTTACCTTTTTTTTTTTTTTGAGACAGAGTCTCACTGTGTTGCCCACACCCCAGTGAGCTGGAGGCTCAATGTTTTCTTAACAGTCTTACCTTCGTTGGTGTCAGTAGGAAACAGTATTTACCCACTACTGTTTTCATTTTAAAAATCTGTCTAGTTGCATACTAGAAACAGTTTTAGCTGGTTTGTTTGTGTTGGACAAGCTGTTAAAGTAAAAAGTTTTTGCCTAGATGAATGTGGGACAGTTTCATAATCCTTCAAGAAGCGCACCAAAGGTGGATGCCAGCTCCGATGATGGCTGCTTCTAACATGCCTCCACTTGCCGCCCATTGTCAAGAGTGGCCAGCATAATTAAGTTAAGACAATGAGCAAAGCAACAGATGCAACTGAGACCCAGTCCCTGAGTGCTTTTGTTTTGTCACTGTCATTGTCTGCAACAAAGAAGCCACATGTGACAGCCTGGGACGAGAGCCAAATGCAAACCAGATGACATCCCAGCTGGTTTGAATGGCCTCCACCAGGCACGTGTGTGCACGGGAACCATGCTACTTGGCACAGCATCTGCTTCACTCAAGTGAAGTTTCAGCCCATGGCTTCGCTGTGATCCTGAGACAGACCCAGAAGAAACAGACCAAGGGAGATCCCTCTGCTCAGATTTTACACTTTATGTCTTATTCTTTGAGAGAAAAGAAAAGAGAATCTCTCTATTAGAGACAAAAAATAAGATGTATGTGGTTGGCCATTCTGACCTCAATTATTTTTGCTATAGCCCCCTGCTAATTTAAAGAGTGAAGCATAGGTGGTATCTTAATATTTCCTTGTAGAAATTTGCAATTAACTTGGCTTGAGAGAAAGAATGGAGATTAAACGCTTTAGGAGGCTTTCTTTTAATTTGTTCCCATTTCATTCTTGAGTATTTTCTTAATTAAGGCATTGAAGATGCTGAAAGATCTGATTTTCAGCTGGCATGCCTTGTAAATGGAAAAACAAAAGGCAAAATTCAAATTAGTATGTTTCTCTGCTGTGAATTAATTTGGTTAGTAGTTAGGCAGAGAGGTGGCATCCTTAATAATATGTGTTTTGGGGGTTTGATAAGCTACAGACCATCAACAGTGTTGATTGAGAATTGAACAGAAATGTTTCAAGGAGTTTTAGAACATTAATGACGCTGTTCTGTGGCCCTGTGTGTCCTTCTCTCATTTTTCTAGAGAACTCCTATAAGAAAGCAGAACATGGCTGAGCATGGTGGTTCATGCTTATAATCCCAACACGTTGGGAGGCTGAGGCGGGCAGATGACCTGAGGTCAGGAGTTCCAGACCAGCCTGGCCAACATGGTGAAACCCCATCTCTACTAAAAATACAAAAAATTAGCTGGGCATGGTGGTGTGCACTTGTAATCCCAGTTACTTGGGAGGATGAGGCACAAGAATCACTTGAACCGGGAGGCAAAGGTTGCAGTGAGCCAAGATCACGTCACTGCACTCCAGCCTGGGTGACAGGGTGAGACTCCATCTCAAAAACACAGAAAACAGAACATGATGTAAGATTAAGAACACAAGTTTACTGGGAGCTTAACAGGAGATGCTTTGTACCACAACAAATGCATCTTAAATGGTCTTTTGTGATATTTGAGGGAAGGTGCCAGGATTAAAAACAGATGGCATTTCAAGTTATTCTATACAAATGCCCAGTTTCTTTCTACCAGCTTTTTTTTCTTTTTGCAGTGGTCACTGACCTATTTTAATGAATGCTTTTCCACAATGATGCCATCTTCCTTCTACTCAGTCAGTATAAGATGTTGACCATCAACTCATAAAATGCAAGCTACCTTTCATGAAGGACTTGGTGATAGCTCTAATGTTCCAAGTAGAACTGAAAAACATGTGTAAGAAAAACTGCCATATCCCTATGGGCCTTGACTGATAGGTATTATTTCCAAGGAGTGGCGGTTGATTTTTTTTCCCCAGCCTCCATATTAAAACCTCTCACCTTCTCCAGGTCAAGGTCTGAGTAATCTCAAATGTGTTCAGCTCCTCACAATGTTGTGATTGTGTGGGTGTTCACTACCTTAGCCAGAGGGAACAGTTTGAAGATTCCAGGTATCATGGAGAGAACTCCTGTTTTTGGTTTTGAACCTCATTCTATACCAATAATTATCCATTACATCCTTCTATAGCGGGATCTCTGGCTAGAGGTAAAACAAACAAACAAAAAAAAAAGTACCTCAGGTTTATGCATATAAATGCCAGTTCCTCCTTCATTTTATTTCAAAACTCCTTATCTACATACCTTGCTATTTAAATTATTCAAGGATAAAATAATAACTATAGGAAAAGTATTATAATGACTTAGTTCTGTACATCACAAGGGAGTCCCTCATACCCATTCATTCATTTAACTCATTTTACAGACATTTATTGAGCACCTGCAATAACCTGGACACTGTTTTAGACACTGGGACTGTAACAGTGAACAGACAGACACATCTCTGCTCTCACAGCACTTCTATTCCAAACAAAACTCAATATACAGGCCAGGTATAGTGGCTCATGCCTGGAATCCCAGCACTTTGGGAAGCCAAAGCTGGTGGATCACCTGAGCCCACTAGTTAAAGACCAGCATGGGCAATATAGCAAAACTCTGTCTCTACAAAAAATAAAAATAATTATTCAGGCATAGTGGTGCATGCCTATGGTCCCAGCTACTCAGGAGGCTGAGGCAGGAGGATTGTGTAAGCCTTGGAGGCAGAGGTTGTGTTGTATTTGACCAGAGCGTAGAAAGTTACCACAAGACAAAAGTATGCCAGATTGCAGGGTCATTTATTATGCCGGCGACCACAGAGGACTCACGTCTCTCCAACCTGTGGTGCCAAAAGGAGGGTGCCATGATTTTTTATACACGAAAAACCACCTTGGGAGTGGGGGTGAGGGGCGGGGATGGGGATGATAAGGTTTCGGACATTTCAAGGGCTAGGGGATTCTGTGATTCACCTCCTGGGTGGAGACAAGGGCGGGGGTCTCCGGACATTCCAAGGGCTAGGGGATTCTGTGATTCACCTCAGTGGTTTACAGAAGTTCAAGATATACATTTGTTTACACATCACAGATTTTAGCAGTTACTGATAAGAAAAGGTAAGCAGCTTTACATAGTTTTGAAGAACAAACTAGCAGTTCTATTTACAGAGGCCAAGGACAGTAGTTATTGTAAGGAGAATGGGGCAGCCATTTCAACTTATCTAAAAACAGTTTTGCATTTTATAAAGTAGTTTTGCTCCGGTTCTGGCTCTAGGCCAGCACAATATCACAGTTGCAGTGCACTGAAATGGCACCACCACATTCCAGTCTGGACGACAGAGAGAGACCCTGTCTAAAAAACAAAACAAAACTCAATATCCTTAAGATAACATCATTGCTTGTTGAGGAGGGATGGTAGCACCACATTAGGAACCCAGAACTTTCAGTCTTGGTATGGTTACTTTCCTATAAAGGTGACAATACTAAGAGGAAAAATGAGTTAATAATGATAATAATGAGTTAATAATATGCAGTGCTTACCATGTGCCAGGTCTATTGTAAGTACTTTTATATATATGATGTAATCTTTGATCCTATAAGGTAGATATTATTATTATCCTAGTTTGAATAATGAAGAAACTGAAACACAAGAGATTGCCACTCATACAAGTTTACATAGCTAGAAAATAGAAGAGCTACAATTTGAGCTTAGCCCAGTATGTCTGTGATTTTATAGACTCAAAATTAATTATAAGACTTCCTAATCTTCAATTTCTAAAACTCTGCCTTGCTCTAGAAGAAAACAAGAAAAACAATGAAAAAGAAATGTCTCTTTTTTTTTTACAAAAATTAAAACAGAACAAACTGCAATAAAACAACAAAAGATGATCCCAGAGTGTGATTGATTTTGTTTCTTACTAGGAGAGGAGCCAGAGGCCAGAGGGCTGGATTTTTCAGGATCTTGTTCCTATCAATGAATCTGTGACAGAGGCAGATGAATCCAATCTCATCTTTGTGTATTTATAAAGCTCTCTGTGGTATTCACGCCACCAGGGATACAGGGAAGATGTCTGAGTGAGGTTTGGCAAAAGTATTAAGGGCTTGTACACCTATATACACCCTTCTCAAGAAAACCAAGGCCCAAGGTCTCTATTAGCTCAACTGGTAAGGCGTAAGATATGGAAGGTTGAGACCCACTGTAAGAAATAGATGGATAAATAAAACTTCATCAAGTTAATGTCACTTTTTCTTCTTTATTTATAGGAAGTACATCTGAAGAACGCAAGTAGGGGGAGTGCAGGAAACAAGAACTACAGAATGTAGGAAGACCTTCCTGAGAAGTGAAGAGCGACATGCCACCGCAGAATCCTTTGCTCTGCACGAGTTACCTGTTAAACTTTGGAATAACTACCAAAAAATAAGTTTGATAACATTGAAAAGATGGGCGTTTCCCCCAATGAAATACACAAGTAAACATTCCAACATTGTCTTTAGGAGTGATTGATAAAAGGTTTGCACCTTGAAAAAATTGTCCTGGAGTTGGTAGATTGCTGTTGATCCTTTATCAGTAATGTTCTATAGAAAAGAAAAAAAAAACATATATATATATATATATATATATATATATATATATACACACACACACATATATATCTTAGTCCCTGCCTCTAAAGAGCCACAAATGCATGGTTATTATGTAGATCCAGTTGCACTAAATTCCTCTCTGAATCTTGGCTGCTGGAGCCATTCATTGAGCAACCTTGTCTAAGTGGTTTATGAATTGTTTCTTTACTTGCACTTCTTTCTACACAACATGGGCTGTTTGTTTTACAGTGTCTGATAATCTCCTTCATCTACACCCACCACCTCCCTTCATAACCTTTATATTTGCCGAATTTGGCCTCCTCAAAAGCAGCAGCGAGTCGTCAAGAAACATACCAATTTCTAACCCACAAGATTCCATCTGTGGCATTTGTGCCAAATATAAGTTGGATGCATTTATTTTAGACATAAAGCTTTATTTTTCCACATCATGCTTACAAAAAAGAATAATGCAAATAGTTGCAACTTTGGGGCCAATCATTTTTAGGCATATGTTTTAAACATAGAAACTTGCTTCAACTCAAAACAGTTTCTTCAAATGAGGAGTTAATGTGCAACCTGATTAGTAACTTTCCTCTTTTTATTTTTCCATATAGAGCACTATGTAAATTTAGCATATCAATAATACAAGGTATATCAAACAGTATATAAAACTCTGTTTTTTAGTATAATGGTGCTATTTTGTAGTTTGTTATATGAAAGAATCTGGCCAAAACGGTAATAGGTGAAAGCAAAACAAAAGGGGAAGCCTGGAGCCAAAGATGACACAAGGGGAAGGGTACTGAAAGCTCCATCCATTTGGGAAAGAAGGGAAAGTCCCCCAAATTATGCCTTCCAAGAGGAACTTCAGACACTAAAGTCCACTGATGCAAATTGGACTGGCGAGTCCAGAGAGGAAATTGTGGAATGGAAAAAGCAGAAGGCTAGGAATTTTAGCAGTCCTGGTTTCTTTTTCTCACTGAAGAAACAAACATTTGCCAGCTGTGCCATGGACTCACCAGTGTGACCTTGGGCAAGTCACTTCACCTCTCTGTGCCTCAGTTTCCTCATCTGCAAAATGGGGGCAATATGTCATCTACCTACCTCAAAGGGGTGGTATAAGGTTTTTAAAGATAAAGCTTCAGGTTTGTTTGATTTTTTCTTACCCTGGGTTGCTGTAAGGGTGCAACATCAGAGTGCTTGAGTTGCTGAGATTCTATAAATAACCCATTCTGAGATTCTATAAATATAAGGAATTCTATAAATAACCCATTTGTAGCGTAGCTAGAGATCAATTAATTGAACGCTCCTGACATCTCAGTTCTTGTCAGTGAAGCTATCCAAATAACTGGCCAACTAACTAGTTGTTAAAAGCTAACAGCTCAATCTCTTAAAACACTTTTCAAAATATGTAGGAAGCATTTGATTTTCAATTTGATTTTGAATTCTGCATTTGGTTTTATGAATACAAAGATAAGTGAAGAGAGGAAAAGGAAAAGAAAAAGGAGAAAAACAAAGAGATTTCTACCAGTGAAAGGGGAATCAATTGCTCTATTTATTAGCACTCACTGACTCTTCCATGCAGTTACTATGTATCTAGTATAACCTCTTTTCATACTATAAATAATATTCTATTCTTTTTGAAAAACACGATTCCTTCTTTTCTAGGCAATATAAGGAAAATGACCCAAAGTTTGAAATACTAAAACAATAATAAAAAGTCACAAAGTCATTTTCTTTAACAAATTTTACTCTTATTCTTAGCTGTATATACATTTTTTAAAAATTTTGTTAAAATATGTTTGACTGGAGTTGTCAGCTGAAAGGCAAAAACTGCCATCCAACAAGAACTTTCCCACTTAGAAGGGTAGGCCCTAGCTCTCTGTGAATGCCTTTTATCAGTTCAACTGAAAATTGGTATCAAGAAAGTCCACAGGTTAGTACAGGTTCATCACAGCCTATAAAATAGCCCCCATCTGCAGATCAAGATTTTCTCGTCAGAACAATTAATTGTCCAGCATTCAGATCTTTTTATTCACCTTAGAACTTTTTGGTTAAAAGCATCCGGGCTTATTTCATGCAAATTTTGTATTTTACCTCCTTGGAAAGCGTATATGAAAAAACAAAAATAACATCTTCAGTTTTTCTCCCACTGGGTCACCTCAAGGATCAGAGGCCAGAAAAAAAAAAGAGAGAGAGAGAGAGAGACTCTCCCTAGATCTCTGAATATATGCAAAAAGAAGGCCCTATTTAATGGAGTCAGCACTCCTGTTCAGTTAATAAGTATTTTAACTCTCAATCCAACAGATTTGAATTAAGCACCTCAAGCATGCTCAGCAATGTCCCAATCACTATGTACAGATGTAGAAGAAACTCTACATCTGCCTGTTTTCCAGACATATGGGTTCTGTGGAATAAGATACTAGACTCCTCTTCCCAAAATGGCACTTCTTTTTATTTCTTGTTCCCATTATGTACCTTTTAAAATTATTTACTCTCAACAAAACTTTATAAGCAGTCTTCTGCAGACTTATGTGTTTTCTGTCATAGTTAGATGTGATAATTCTAAGACGGTCTATTACTTATTTTCTTCATTTAATTCTATCCACAGTCAAAAATCCCCCAAGGAGGAAAGCTGAAAGATGCATTGCCACATTATCTTTCTTAACTTTTTCCAACACATAATCCTCTCTAACTGGATCATAAATCAACAAATTTAATATAACTCATTATGCTATTTTTTTAATGAATTAAAACTAGAAAACAAACTGATGCAAACTCTGAAAGTCAGTCAATTATTATATACTACAGCAGAATGACTCGGACTTCATAGAAAAGAGCAACAAAATTGTCATAACCCAAAACTTTACAAGCTTTGCTTCAGAATTAGATTGCTTTGTAATTTTTAAATGAGGCAATTTAAAGATATTTGTAAAAGAATGGTAAACATTGGTAAGGATGAGCTTTCAGCTTATAGGCTTATTTCCAATTTAACTGACCATACTTAATACTTAGGTCAAATTTCTGTTCTCTCTTCCCCAGATAGTGTTAACATTATTTGAACTTTTTAAAATGAGGAGGCTCCCCTGAAAAAGTTAATGCAGCTCTCCATCAGAATCCACTCTTCTAGGGATATGAAAATCTCTCAACACCCACCCTACATACACACACACATACACACACTCACACACACACAAGTACACACACACAAACACCCTAAGGATCCAATGGAATACTGAAAAAAAAAAACACTTCCTTGAAAATTTTATTGAACGCAAACAAACAAACAAACAAAAAGCCGTCCCTCCCTTGAGAATCCTTCTTCTCCTTGGAATGTCAGTGTTTGCGTAGGCGAAACCATCCCGTGTTCTGTGGCTCCAGAGTTTCTGTTACTACTTTATGCACTTGGGAGAAGGCTTAGAATAAAAGATGTAGCATATTTTGCTTTCCCATTTATTGTTTGGCCAGCTATGCCAATGTGGTGCTATTGTTTCTTTAAGAAAGTACTTGACTAAAAAAAAAAGAAAAAAAGAAAAAAAAGGAAGCATAGACATATTTTTTTAAAGTATAAAAGCAACAATTCTGTAGATACATGGCTTAATAAAATAGCATTAGGTCTACCTAGCCACCACCACCTTTCAACTTTGTATCACTCACAAGTAGTGTACTGTTCACCAAATTGCGAATTTGGGGGTACAGGGGCAGGAGATGGAAATTTTTATAAGTTAGAGGACTCCATTGTTTTGTTGGCAAAATTAGCAATATATTATCCAATCTTCTGAACATCTTGATCAAGAGCATGGAGAATAAATGGGGGGAAAAGATCTTACAGGAAAATAGAAAAATTTAAAAGATAACTAAGTTCCTTATTGATTTTTGTGCTCTCTGCTCTAAAACACATATTCAGCAAGTGGAGAAAATGTGCACAAAGAGAAAAAATACATAGATTTACCTGCAAAAGAAATAGCTTCTACCAAATCCCCCTTGGGTATTCTTTGGTATTTACTGGTTTGTAGAAGATTTTCTCCCTTACCCAGACATCTCAAAGAGCAGTAGCTCTCATGAAAAGCAATCACTGATCTCATTTGGGGAATGCTGGAAAGTATTTCCTCAAGAGACAGGGCTTACCTACTGATAAAGAAAGAGAGAATTTATGAGAAATCATTGAAAGAGATGGCTAACAATCTGTGAAGATTTTTTGTTTCTTGTTTTTGATTTTTTATACAGTCTTTATGAATTTCTTAATGTTCAAAAATGACTTGGTTCTTTTCTCCTTTTTTTATATTGGAATAAGGAATAATAAATTAAACCCACATAGACTCTTAAAAACTATAGGCTAGATAGAAATGTATGTTTGAAACTATAATCAGACTATTTAAAATGTTTTCCTATTTTTAATCTTAAAAGACTGTGTTAATTTATTAGAGCAAAACCTATTTGGCTCTCCTCATGAGAAAGAATATTTCCATTCAAATCACATGGGCTTTCCACCAATATTTTCAAAAGATAAATCTAATTTATGCAATGGCATCATTTATTTTAAAATAGAAGAATTGTGAAACTTTATGCCCCTCCCTTGCAAAGATCATAAAGTCCAGATCTGGTCGGGGGCAACAACAAAAGGAAAATGTTGTTGATTCTTGGTTTTGGTTTTTGTTTTATTTTCAATGCTAGTATTAAATCCTATAGTACCTATTTGCTTATTGCTATTTTAATATTTTTTAAGACCTTCCTGTTAGGTATTAGAAAGTGATACATAGATATCTTTTCTGTGTAGTTTCTACTTAAAAAAGAAAGAAGACTGTCAGAATCTTTAAGTGCATATGGTACAGGATAAAGTATCAATTTAAATAACCAATTCCTATCTGGAACACTGCTTTTGTTTTTTAAAGAAACCTGTTACAGATAAGACAGAGGCCCAGGAGATTTTTGAAGGTATCTTTATTATGCCCCTGTCCCAACCCAGTTATTATTATTTTAGTATCTGCCTCAGGATTTTATAGAGGGATGAACAAGCTGAAACCCTAGAATTAAAGGAACCTCATTAAAAACGTATATTTCACATTTTGTTTTGTTTTGTTTTGAGACGGAATCTCTCACTGTCATCCGCGCTGGAGTGCAGTGGCATGATCTCGGCTCAATGCAACCTCCACCTACTGGGCTCAAGCAATTCTCCCACCTCAACCTCCCAAGTAGCTGGGATTACTGGTGCCCACCACCACACCCAACTAATTTTTGTATTTTTAGTAGAGACGGGGTTTTACCATGATTGTCAGGCTGGTCTTGAACTCCTGACCTCATGATCTGCCCACCTCGGCCTCCCAAAGTGCTGGGATTACAGGCATGAACCACCATGTCCCACTCTTAATGTATGATTCCATTGATCTTAAACGTGGTCCTTCTCTCCTCGTTCTTCAACTATCTTTGATATGGCCTTTGAAGGGGAAAAAAACTCCAAACCTTTTTAAAATTAAAAGAAAAGAGAGAGGACACAAAACTCCAAATATTACTGCCCAACTGAAATATGAGTTAAGATGAAGATAGAGTTTCTCCTAATAGCCTGAGCTGAATTATCCATCACTTTCAAGAAAATGATCTTCCACAATTCTTAGAAACTGCCTTTTTTAATATTATTGAGGCCTAAAAGTAAACGTTTCTCATTTCATTTTGCCCAAAATGCGCTGATGTA